TGGCTGAAAGCTGGTTCAGTGTTCTTCGGACCCTGTGATGCCGGTTCTGAAGCACACTCCCTTTGCTTCTCTTAGAAGGAGCTCTTTGAACACCCTCCCGAAAGCACTGTTCCACAGTGCCAGGCAGTCCTGCTGGCATTTTGCTTCAGCAGAATTGTCAGCTCACATCAAGATTAATTGCATAGACTGTGCTCTTCTCTAGTGTTTTATATCAGCTTCCAACTGAAAGCCATTCACTGAAAGGTAGACCCAGTCCCTGATGTTTTACCCAAGAGAAAGGTAATCCCAGCCTTTGCCATAATTATGAAGAACATGAATAGATTTCCTCTAAAATCATCGTGATACTCTGTATACCCTAAAATTACTGTTCCTATCACAGCAATGCAGGGTCATTTTGTGCTTGGTACGTGTTTGAACAGGGTTAGCTCCCATCCTTACCCCTGGAGGTGTTTCAAAGACAAAAACAGGAGAAGAGAAACTGTGGGCAAGTGCAATGTCACAGGAGGCTTGATTAACACGGGCAGTATCTGGCAGCTCTTTGGAGAGAAGTAAAACCACTTTGTGAGAGAGAAAATGAAGAGAGTTGTGTTTCTACCTTCCCTTCTTGTCAGAACTTCGGGTACCTGCAGAAAGATGGTTCTTATTTCTCTGGCATCTTTTGCATGTTTTACCAATGTACTGGCTTTCTCCATCCCATTAATTCAAAGGAAATCACTACTCATCTGCAAGTACTGCATATTCATTAGCCAAGTAGGCAACACTTGCAGTGCTGAAGAGCTTTCCACTTCTCAGCACTCTTTGAATGCTACAGTGCTGGAAAGCAAAGCAGGCTTCAGGTTCACAGGAGCATTACACAAGTTCAGGATATGCTTTGGAAACAAATGCTCTTGCCTCATTCAGCCTGCAGGGGTATGCACACAGGCAACGGCTGCTCAGGGGGGCATTTTGGGTAGAGCGAAGGCAGCAAAGACACTGGTGAAAAATCACGGCATTTTATGGATCTCAACCCATCAGACCTTTGTCCAAAGCATACCACCTCCATCAGGTCTGCCTCTGCACTAAACGTCCCTGCTTTTGTAAGACAGTGAATTGTTTGGCACCATGGGAGGCAACAGCTTGGATTCTTTCAGTGTTTTAGCACATATTCTGCATATTTGCTCCCTTAGAAACATCAGCAATTGTTCTCTGCTCTTTCTTCAGAGTGGAAATGCAAACCAAGGGTGAGCACCTGAGTGAGCCTTCCGAAAGTCTGTACACAGCAAAACTTTTCCAGATAAACGATGTGCGTGTTTAGTACTGCAAACACTCTGAAATGTCACAGTGCGGTTGTTTCAGTTCAGGCTGGGGCAGCCTGGACAAGAGAAGGCTCCTGAAGGGGAGACCTCAGAGCAGCTCCAGTACCTGAAGGGGCTGCAGGAAGCCTGGAGAGGGGCTTGGGACAAGGGCCTGTAGGGACAGGCCAAGGGGAATGGCTTGAACCTGCCAGAGGGGAGACTGAGATGAGCTCTTAGGCAGAAGCTCTTCCCTGGGAGGGTGCTGAGGTGCTGGCACAGGGTGCCCAGAGAAGCTGTGGCTGCCCCATCCCTGGCAGTGTTCAAGGCCAGGTTGGACACAGGGGCTTGGAGCAAGCTGCTCTAGTGGAAGGTGTCTCTGCCTGTGGCAGGGGTTGGAGCTGGCTGAGCATTAAGGTCCCTTCCAACCCAAACCATTCTGGGGTTCTGTGATCTCAGAATCCCCTTCTGAGAAATGAGACTTTACTCGATTAGACTGCAGCTTCTACCTGTGGAAGTTCTATGGTCATGGTTCAGGATATGGTCAGCTCGAACAGCCCAAAATAGCCAGTCCGAAAAAAAACCAACCCAAAAGATCAAATTCAGAACTGAAACCGTAGCTTTGAATTATGGGAATTAAAAAAGAGAGTCGGTGACAGTTAGGTGACACATTGTCAATACACTGAGGTCTGAGGTGAAGAGGCAGCCTCCTTCAGCACATTGTACTGACGTTGTCTGTCCTGTTCCATCTGATCTCGCTTTGTAAACAGCACCTGCAGAGTATTCCCAATTCAAATATTAAATCTGGTTAAAGCACTTGAAGCGCATCCAGCTCCAACCCCTGCCACGGGCAGGGACCCCTTCCACTAGAGCAGCTTGCTCCAAGCCCCTGTGTCCAACCTGGCCTTGAACACTGCCAGGGATGGGGCAGCCACAGCTTCTCTGGGCACCCTGTGCCAGCGCCTCAGCACCCTCACAGGGAAGAGCTTCTGCCTAAGAGCCCATCTCAGTCCCCCCTCAGGCAGGTTAAAGCACCATCTCCATCTAGTAACCACTAGGATTTCTCATGGAGACTGAGCATTCTTGTTGGCAAGATAACCTCATTCTCTTCCTCAAAATGAGTTATCCCCAATTCAGTCCCCAGCTCTGTGGGACTATGCATTAGGATGATTCTTCGACTATATCTAAGTGAGAGAGACTGTCAGAGGAACAAACGCTAGCTAAACTCAATGAAGAGAACAGAATCCCTCTGCTTTTTCCAAAATCCTCCCGTTTATAAAAGCAGGGATCTAGCAAAATTTGATTTCTACCCAAACATTGCATGTAAAACTGTCAGGTGCAGAGGACAGAGGCAGGCTAACAGGGCAGCGAGCAGCTGAAGTATTGGTGTTAGGGAGCTCAGATTTGCAGTTTTCCAGATCATACATTAAGTACAGGAACACATCCTACCAAAAGCACAGCTTGTCCCAAGGGAAACAGTGCGTGACAGAACAAGCAAAACTGCAGCACTGGTACAAACAGACCCCGCTTAGAGGTGCACAACAGAAGAGGCAACAGTCACAAGTTCCAGCAAGGGAAACTCTGACGGAGGTGAGAATTCTCAGTGGTGGTTGTTAAGCAGTGAAATGGGCCCCGAGAGATGATGGAGATAGTGAGAGCCTATGAAGGTCCTGGGCAATGCAAACAGTCTTTGAAGTTGGCCCCACTTGGAGCAGGAGATTAAAGCAGGGACCTGTCTTGCACAGATCAGGAGGCACAAATAATCCTGTTTGAAGTGATCCTACCTAAAGAATTTGGCAACATGTGCTCATTTTTCAGTGTATTGCAAGTTCCTTTGGGTATGCAGCATCGCCAACTACAAGCTGCCCTTTCCTCTGCCTTGAAAAAGTGGAGCTTGCTAGAAGTGACAAGAAAAACATCTCAGGTGAACACTGATCTCAACGCTGGTTTTAAGTTAGCAGTTGTTCTTGTTGTAACGTGCATATTACATGTATATATGTAAATACACCTTCTCTATGCAAAGGGTAGTGCCCCATGTGAAGTGCTCTGTGCCATTCTCACAAGAAGAAAAGGCACATTAAAGGGTAATTCCACAACAGATTGGTACTTAAAGCACAATCCTTTGTGCTGCATAAATGCTGCTCACACTGATGGGTACCAAGGTCTCTGAATGGAGGCGTAAGGCAATACTTGATCATAGAGAACGTTATTTTAGCAGCCCCACTGATCTCTCACGGCAAAAAGGAAGAAGTTGAAAAAACAATCCACAAGGAATTCACTATAAATATAGAAACAGGTGAAAATACAGCCAGCAACAGACCTTCCTTTTGATAGTAAGGACAGTGGGAAACCAAGCCTGAGCGGTGTTAAACCTCAGGCACACGCACTTACCCGGCTTGAGTGGGATTCAGCTGATGGCTATTTCTGGCATTTCAGGTTTGCAAAAACCCACAAATGCTAAAAATGCTTTTCCCAGTTTTTCTATTCCTGTTTCTCGCTATTGAGGTAGGAGGATGGAGCAAAATATCCCAGTCTGTGTTTTCTCAAAGAGGTGGAGGATTACAGTGCGAAGTGGGACTAACCAGTGAGTTTGTCTGAACTGTGTGAACTAATCACAGAACCACAGATCTCAAGGTCCTTTCCAACCCAAACCATTCTGACTCTGAGCTCTGGACCATACACATGCTGTGCTGCTCCGTATTTTACTTGTCCTGCTGTACCTCTTCTCCTTCTTGGTTTACACACATCACCGCTCTCCAGTGAATGACCTGGAGTCGAGTCCAAGCCCAGGGCAGTAGCACCTACCCAAAGGCTTCATTTCCTTATTTTAATTACCTTGCTTAAGATCAGATCCCACTATCACTATGGCAATAGTTGTGATACAATAAAATATTCCCAGGAATTGCGATAAACAAATCTGAGTAGGAAAAGAAACCCCAACTGCTAAAACTGAAAAAGCCTCTTAAATTTCTATCACTGTGATATCTAAAAGAATACAGCAAAAGCCTATGGAGTTTTGTTTTGAGTCAAAACTGCCAGCCTTGTAACGGTGAGACTTCAACGCCTACGTCAAAAGGGATTTCCTGCTTGTTCCGAGAATAATGAAGAGCTGGTATACTGGGAAAAAAGCAAGGCAGAACTAGTTACTTTTACTCACTAAAAAGCGAGTTGGGAGGAAGGATAACATTAGTCAAGAGGAACGCTGCAGGAGCATTACAGGAATTAGTTATCTAGGAATTAAAACCGCCTAATGTGCCCCGTGCAAGCTGTGCTGTGAGGCTCCGTCTGTGTTTAGAACACTCAGCTCATTGCTGTCACCACCTAGGAGATAAAAAGCAAATCTCTGTTCTTTCCTAAATTGAAGCTGTCGTGCCATTAACCTTTCAGACTCTTTCAGTAATCACGTAATGGGACAGTACTCACTTTTATGAATGGTAATTGTGGAGCTTTCAACTGATAGGGTACTGCTAGAAATACGCCATGCCTTGATGCTTTCAAGTGCCATATATCGCAAATTAAAACAAAGGCAATTGCTTTTGCAAACTTGTCCAGAAAATGCTAAATGCACGCGTTGCTTGTTCCGAATCTTCTTTAGCAGCTGGAGGAGATGACGTGTCTCTGGTTTATAGAAGCTCAGAATGTTGCCACTGTATACTACAGACGTTGTTCACGTTTTAGGAGTTGCTTTGGGTGACCCACAGGAAGTAATAAATGGACAAACCACAGACAGACAGAATATTTGAAGTTTTAATCCAACAAACAAAGAGGATTTTAACACTGTAAAATACCATTGTATTGCTAAGGCTGTAAATTGTACATCAAAACCAATTAATGTCTATAGATGTAAAAATAGCAAGTTTTATGATACAATAAAACACAGTATAGAAACCATTGAAAATTAAGTAGAAACCTCTTAAAACAATTGAGGCATTAATCTAAGTGTTTCTCCAAAGGTATTAAGTAAAACACAGTTAATACTGACTCTAAAGATCCCCCCATCTTCCCCACTCCCCGCCCCAACTAAATTGGTTAGAAATCATAGTAGTCACTCAGTTACTGGTTTGCATTCTCTCAGAATCATTTAGAGTCTCCATTTCTCTCCAGTACAGTAGAACAACTCTTCACAACACAGGACTACCCCGAAGTAACTTATTTCCCAGTGCTGTATAATTCTGCAAGTAAGTATTTCAGATGGATGCTGAAGGCTAGAACAGGCCCAAGGAAGTCTGCAGGAGGGCAATTAAATTGTGAATGCAAATTATTTACACAAACATTAGTGTACTGTAATTACAGCATCAAGCTTGCAACAGAGCTGATGGGTGCTTTTAACAAAAGCTCCAAATGAAAGAAAGGGAAGAAAAACAGATTACAAAATAAATACCCTAAAGTTCTTCGTGGTAGAAACGTTCATCATGAAGCTGCCTGCCATAATCCGTTGCTTCGCTGTTAAGAAACAAATCCTGGTTCTTGAGGATTTCTGCTTCAGAAAGCTTTTTATCATCATTCAAATCCATTTCTTCAATAAGGTGAAGAGCCTTTAAAATAAATGGAATACCATGTGCACAGTTAATAGAGGTGAGCACTTACAAATAATGCTTCTGGAATGGCTTTGTCCAAGTCCTGCCGCACCACCATTACTAGTACCAAGCTAGACATGGGTTCGCATGCAGAACAGAGCCTTTCTTTCCTCCATTTGTTTCCCTTTGCCTCTTTGATTTGAGGTTAAGCTGTTGGCACACTTACTTTCAGCTCTGGAGGTGTCTGCTTTGCTGAGCCATCTTTTCCTTCCTGAACCCATGGAGCCCCACTTTCCCGTCACATGTGCACACAAGAGATCTGCAGCTGGATATTCCCTATTTATCATTTGCAAAAAAAGTGCCCCACAGCTATAATTCATGATGGAAATTTAACAGGGAAGTAGTTGATGGTGACCTTCAACCGTGGACAAGCTAAGCCAACTACGCACAGGGACTCCAGCTTTGGGTAGCAAAAAAAGGGGGGAGTTTAGCAGTCAAAAAAACCCCAATTCCAGAATAATTTACTTGTAGCTTACTGACAAGCATTACATAGCTCAAAGCTAACAAGCCAGGACAGCAGCTTTTGCGCCTATTATTTCTGAGAAATAGAGGAGTCCTAGCATTACATGGGATTAATTGTATTTGCCAGACATTTATGAATATGAGGATTTAGAGAATCCTTCCGTTCCTACATTTTCTGATTGGTTTGGCTCAATGGAAGTGCTTAGTGACTTTTTTAAAACATTAAATATTACTTACATTTAAGCTGACTACATGGCCAAAAAGCACTGAGGAAAATAACAGGGACTAACGTCAGCCAAGCAGATTCTAAAAGCACTCTGCATGGTGAAAGCTAAAAGATTATTAAGACAAACATCTTGGTAAACACATATCCACTCCTGCAAATGGAATGTACAATCATTTTTCTATTTTTATGTTATTTAGCTACCAGGTTTCTCAAATCATTCTGAAATGCCAAAATGGCACTGCAATATTCAGCTTATGATTTAAATCAGTGCTGCCTTCTCTTTGTGATAGGTGACTTCACTCAGCCCTTACATTAACTGAAGAGAGAGGGAAAAAGGCACATTATAGAAACAAATAAAACGATGACTTCTTGCAGAACCAGGCTATTCCTACAGCACAGCCTTGCTGTAAGCTGGCATCTGAATGAATAGGGAAGAACTGATGAAAAGCCCCCCAAAATAACCAAGCAAACTAACACAGGCACGACCAGACTCGACACCGGACAGAATTCATGTCGGTTCTAACAGTATTGTTTCTGTGACATCAGAACCAAGCAGCCTCAAGAGTGAGATGTTAAAAAAAGCAAAGGCTTAAGATCCACATTAACAAAACCACCACCAGAGCACTCTAACAGCTTAACCTCCTCCAAAGTCAGGCACGGGAGAGCCCGCGCCGCTGGCTCACCACACAGCTTTTTCTGTCACCAAGAGCAGAGGCAGGAAGAGCTGGGACCTCAACAATGACATGCTCCAACACAGCACATGGGCTGTGCTGTGTGACATCAAGTGTCTCCTGCCTCTAGCAGGCATGGGAAGACCGACTGTTCCTGCCATTCTATCACCAAAATCCTCCAGTGCAAAGGAGAGAGATTCAAATTCAGCTTAAAAGTTATTAGGGGAAAGGCAGAAATCCTCTCCACTGCAGTTGGTGACTGTAAAGTCTGCTCATTCAAATAGATTGTTCTGGAACACTCAGTGCTTCTACTGCCTGCTATGACAAAATAAAGACAGCTAAAATGAGAATCCACTTCAACCTATTATGGCATTCTACCCCTGATTAAACCATTTTAATCTTCCTCATCAAAGTTTGCATCACAGCATCTTGAATCACAGAATACTTCCATTTTCTTGTACTTATGAAACACAAGGTTTTAGTTCTACAAATTACGGTGATTTATCCAGTTAGAAGAATCACAATCAATTTTTGTTCTCAAAATGATGCTGTCAGTAGGCAACAGCCGCTTTTAGTTGTGTATCTCATTAGATTTACCTACAATTACAACAGAATAACAGACTAAAATACCATACCCTTAAGTCAAACCAGATAAGCTATTTAAACAGGTAGAAAAGTACTTTGTTAATTTACACACATGTAATTAATAGGAACTTCAGATTTGCCTAAAGCAGGTAAAGGACCTGCATTCTTTGCCAGACTGAAAGAAGGTTAAAAATATAGACAAAGATGTGCCTAAGCATTCTTCTTCAACTACTAAGACATAATGAATCCAAATGCATCTATCATTTTGTGGTGATACATTCATCATTCTATCGCATTAATTAAAATCTAAACAGCAGTTAAAACACATACCTCCTCTTGGGCAATACCCTGATTATTGGGTACTATCCAAGACAACAGCTCTTGAGGGTCGAGTTTTCCATCATTATCCTTGTCGTAGTCATTCACAAACCGATCCTTCTCCACAAGTATCCATTCTGGATCTTCCCTTGCAGCTAGTAAGACACATTTGTCAAGTTCAAAGCCGGTCCTTACCTCAAAGCAGATGTTTTCACTTTTTCTCATATTCAGTTTTCTCAAATTCAGTTAATCTCATAAAACACAAAAGTGATTTCGGGGAATAAAGCCAAGCCTTACCGACCAGTCCCGAGAGATTAAATAAATGCAGCTGTCTACAGATGAAAAAATTCCTTGTGTACAATAGAACAGAATGTAAAGCTAAGGCAATATTAACATTGTAAATTTACAATTGAACTGAGAGGATATTAAAGTCAAGGTTTACCATAAACTGAACTGTTTATCTTAATATCTCCACATTTACCCAGATTGGTAATGGAGAAAGCATACTTTATATTGAGTGTGCTGCCAGGGAGATGGTTTCCTACTTATTGTGACAGCTGACACATCAGTAGGAAGAAGTTCAAGTGGATGACAGAGCTATCTTATATATGCAGTATTTACCCTGAGTTAAGATTACTCTCTCTCATGAGCATGCAGCAATTGTGTTGCAGATGCCATGTTGAGAGCATCACACAGCAGCAATGTGAGCAGTACCACAGGCCGCAGACATTGGTCATCTGGGCTCATAACAGATGGAGGAAAGTAGGAAAAAGCTTTAAATCAACAAGTGTCCCAGGAAGCTGGTGGGCAGTGTTTGGCAGGATTTTGTGGCATTATGAAATTCTAAGGCCATATGAAGTTTTTAATAACATTCTACTGCCTGTTCCCCTGCTTTAACATCAAGGGAAGTCCATCTGTGACAGGTAACAGAGGAGGGAAAGCTCTTGATTAGCTCAGGCTCAAGCCTGAGGCTTTCAGATTAGCTTACTGGCTCATTTTTGTTTGTTTTCTAAAATACCTGGAATGTACCCAAAGCAATTTCATTCACTGTTCATTATTCGTAGACTTGGTTCATACTTACCCTATGCACTGGTATTGCATCCTGCACCTCACCAGCAATCTTAAACTTGTCTCTAACTCCTTGAGAAATTTATAAGCAATTCATCAATCTGATAACCATTGCAGACAAGCAAGAACAGGAATTAAGACTCCCTAAACCTTATAAAAGTCCAAAGTAGTTGGCATCACAAGCAGGTAAATAACAGTTCAACTATAATTAGGTTTCTGTTATAAAAGCACAAGAAGAGTGAAGTCTCTCTCCTTCCTTTCTAACATCTAGTTTTGCAAGTAGATTATCCCTTAATGTCACAATTCACCACACGCTGTTGCCCAAAGCCACAAGACAGTTATGAAACCAGACCCATCATGTAGTTTGTTAAGTCATTTTAAAGTGCACTGCAGGAACACTGTCTGCAGGAGAGATGGCTGTTTGGAGAAGAGTTCAAGTAGTTTCTACAGTTATAGCCGATTCTGAACTCTTGCTAAAATGTGTTAATGACAAAGCTGTCACCTTCTCTCTTACTGCAAGGGCCCTAGCAACGATTTCACTCCTTCCCAACAACTTGAAACGCTTTTTTCAAGTCTGAGCAGGAAAAAGGATAAAAGATCTCTGTACTTGCATCACACATCTATTGTTTTTTACTGGCTCTGGCAAATAAAGACAGTTACAAAAGGTGAAATTCCAGGGTTCACTGGAGTGAATAAAAACTGCCTATTCCCCTGTTTCTCCATATCCTCATGTGGCTTAAACATTTTTCCCAATTAGGATGTTAGTCCACCCCTAGGAACTAGCACTCCATAGGACCAAGCAGACTTTCCACATGCCTAAAGCTACTGGTCTTTTTGGAACTGGAGGAGTTATTTGCCCTATCTTGTAGCAAATCAAATACGGCATAGAAAATAATATATCTATTAGCAGTATAGGTAAAGGACTGATTAACACCAGATAAGTGTCCTTTTTCTTGCTAAAGAAGGAATAGATCAAGTTTAAGGAAGGGCAAGAGTGAGGGAAACAAGTGAAAGCAGACGGGCTTTTGGTATCTGGTCCAGTGACTGGGCTCTTTACACTTCCCCTCCACCTCTCTTAAAACATAGCTTCAGTCCTCCTAAAGCAGGGCTCACAGCTGCCTTCTTAAGCTGATAAAGACCAGGGAAGTTTAACCTTTCATTCCTGCTGGCTGGTTTCAGTTCAGTTACCAAAACCATGCCTTACTTCAGCTGCATACCTAGTGCTGAGGAATGGGCTTTCAGTTACACGAAGTAACTTGCAAGGAAAAGAGTGGAATGGGCTATATGCAAACTACTGCTCAGCACATACAGGGCAGAGTGAAATAATGAGCCACTGTGCCCAGTATCAGGAAACTGAATTATTCTAAAAGACAGGATAATGTTACTCAGAATCTGTAGGTGGAGACATAAAGAGCTGAAAATAAAGGTGCATGCAATTTATCCCATTCCAAAACCTTCTGTTAGCTCCTTCTTTCCTGCCCGCCCCCTACCCCCCTCCCCACCCCCCCTTTTCCTTACTTGGGTCTCTTCTGTAATCACCAAGGAATTCTTCCAGGCTAACAAATCCATCACCATCTTTATCATGTTCTTCTAAAGCCTCCTGAATGACAAAGTCCTTTTGCATACACAGGAAAAGCAAAATAATCAATTTGTGAAAAAGAAGCAACTTGTAATCAAGAGAAACAGCAATAAATGACTTCAGAGCAGAGAGGTGTTCTTTAAAGGAATGACTCCCTCATGGCAAATCTGCTTCTCTGTTTTCCACAGACTAGTCCAGTAAGTGGTTCCTGTGCATCAAGGCAGATGTGTTCTTAAGAGTTTGGGCTGCCAGGTTTTATGGAAACCAGATCTGGAAGGTGTCCACAGAGCTGGAATCCTGCAGCATAATTCAGAACTACACAAACAGCTGAGAAACATGGATTTGTGCAAAGCTGTGTCCTCTCATTCCACCTTTCATGTGATGTATTCACTAATTTGCAGTTTTCCTTTGCAAAGAAATCTTTCCTGTGAATCTCCCTAGCTTGAACTGAACTCTGAACTAGGCATGAAACTGAAGGCACCACACATTAGCTGAGTGTTGATTTGGTCTGTAAAAGCCATACACGTAACTGCTCAAAAACACACTTCCTGGAGTATTGGGACTGAGCACATGCACTAAAGAGATGTTGCATCTAAAGATGCAGGCTGATAAAGATACTCCCCTGCATCTTACCGTCATATACTCCACTTCTTCAGGATGTTCAAAAGCAACAAATTCATCCACATTTAGATCAGGAACATTGTCTCTATTAGCCTTCTCAAAACGCTTTTTCTCCTTTAAATGAAGCTTAGAAAATAGATTTAGTTAGAGTACTTAATGAAAAGGAAAAACAACATCATAATAGCCGGCTGTGAGCTCATTAGAATATTAATTGTTTCACATCATCTACTCGTGTTCTACTGATGCTGTATTTTCACTAAAAGGAGCTCATCCAGAGCAACAAGAAGAGCATTATTAACTGAAGTAGTTTTATTCTAAGAACTGCATAAAAACTTCCTTTATTCCAATTTAAGGAGACATTTAAAACACACTCTCAGTCAGGACTTCGAAAACACAAAAGGGAGATAATGAAAAGACCAACCCTTGTCTTTATATCTGCTTCCTCTTCTAAAAGTCACCAATTCCCAAACTGGACTAGTGGAGTACAATGATTACCATTAATGGTAGCCACTGCAAATTCCAGAATTTACATTTTAAAGGACACTTAACCTTCTGGATCTATATCTCATGGGCTGTCTGTAGTTCTAAGAAGGTGCTGAAATACCATATATGTAAAATGTCTTTTCTGAAGTCATTTTAAGTGCTGAAGCATCAGACTGCTTCCTTTAACACAAGACTCTTGTCATTACATCTCAAAGTATTTCAAAGCAAAGTCACTTCTCTAACCTGTTCTAATTACAGGTATCAGCACACTCTTCAAAACTAAATAATATCCACAAACAACCATCTGAAATTGTACTTCCTAGTTTATACCTTGTTTAATAGACACTTCTCTCAAAATCAGGCTAACCTGAGTAATACAGAGCATAAGATGTAAGGAATAAAGTATAACTGTAACACCTGAACTATTCTACAAAAGAACTAAATGTACTCCTCAACAAAAGCTGTCCTTAGCTGGGGTTTATAAAGGAAGGCAATTCAGACAGACAGACCACAGGAACTACTGAACTGCAGCGTAAACTTTAGCTATTGATGGAAAAAGTGTGGTTTTCAGTGGGCTTTTCTGAGCAGTGATGGACAAGGCTGCCACCTTCTGGTAAATTTATATGTCTACTTGATGCCAATGCTAAATCAATACCGTGCTCTGTAACCTTTACGTTTTGCTTACAGCAGGATCTTTCCAACTGTAAGGAAAAGGCTGAAGGTGGCTGACACACGATGCTTGTACAAATCTGCCAGTTTTGGTCTTTACAATATATGTTGAAGAAATCAGCAAGCACGAAAACCTAGAAAGCAGTCACAGTGTAAGAGTAGGAGCTCTAGCTCAGCACAGACATCACTGCAGCATCTCAAACATGGGATCAATATTTTGACTGCTAGTTCCACCTGAAGTCTTGTTTTATTTATAAGCTATGTAATTATTCAGTGAAGTGACCTCCAAAGCTTTACAGTTTGTTTCCTCCCTGTCCATTGTACATTTTAGTTTCACTGCTGCCAACATCCTATATTATCTCCTATACTAAAAACAAAGTAATCTTTACAGGGAAAAAACAAACAAGTAAACAAAACCAAACCCCTAACAAACCAAAAACTCTAAAACCAAACCAAAATTCAGGCCAGAATAGCCTAAAACTCGCTTATTCCCTTTCTGGGAAATATTTAGGTATGCCTATAAATGTGTAACTTGAAAGGAAACAAGTTTTGCTGTGTGGTGATTCTTGGTGAACCTTTCCTCCCTGCCTCTCTGTTTCCACTTTTAAGCATCTGCTCTCGCAAATGAGATTAATCCATATACATCCAGTTTTATTGATCGGTTTGGAGTCAATGTCCGAATATCGATGTCTGAATTGCTATTGCTTTCTCTGTGGGTCTCTAATGGACAGAAAGCGTTGAAGCAGACAACACTGATACCCTACACTGGGTGCTTGAGAAATACCTGGAAAAGGGGGTAGAACAGTGCAATAAAGGGGGGTAAGGAATACAAGGGTTCATTTACCTCCAACACCAGTGGTACTGGCCCCCGCTGAAGGCAGGACACAGGTTAGGCTACACACCCAGCCTACCAGGTTGCCATCTTGCTTTAAGAAGATGGCTGGAGGCTGTGCTCTGTGATAAGACTGTCAATAGACTTACACTCCATTCAGCTAGCAAAATATACTCCAGAGGTACGATTTCATTCTATCTTCATTTTGTTGGTAGCAGCTTTAATACTCCATTACTCTCCTTTAATTACTCCCCTATCTCAGATGGATGAAAGTGTTAAAACAATGTGCCAGCTGCCACGGTTTCTCTACCCATCTTGTTCCATCACCATAAACAAACATCGCTGCCTTTTACCAGCAGCTTATAGAAACTGATGCTGAAACATTTTACCTGTCGAAATGATTCTTCCTCCTGATCCTCCAGGACAGAGTTCTCATCAAAATCAATTTCACGATCATACATTTGCATATTATACTCCTTCCAAGACAGTAATCCATCACCATCTTTGTCATAGTCATTGAAGTGTTGCTTGGCTTCTTGTGTAACATAATGTTTAAAAGACTGCTGTATCCAGGAGCTCAGCTCATCTGTGAAAATCATTAAAAAATACTAAAATGTAAAAAATCAGGATCATCTGCACTATAAAAACTGCAAAAGACACCACAGGTCTGCTCAGTCTGGAACAGACTCTGCAAATCAGATGTCAGCATATAGGGAAGAGGTTATTTAAAGCAAAACAATCTGTTTATGCTATGGCTTTCTTTTCCAAGTTAACTGAATGAGAGAATAGATCACAGCTTCAGTTTTACTTTAGTAGTACTATTTCCCCATTGATACCCTTAGGCTAGAGTTACACGGTGGCTTTAATACAGCCTTTATAGGTGCTGCCAGGAAAAGCGTGATACAACTGGGGAATGGCAGGAAAAAATGATTACAGGTAGTGTTCATAGAGCTGCAAAGCAGAGTGCATCACTGAAAACTTCTCTTAGTTCTCAGCTGAGAAAGTGCCCCTGTTGAGCTCACTGGGACCTGGACAAGGGAAGCAGCAGCCTGCCCCTTTTGGTGACTGCTGACAGAAATGTCAGCTTGCAGTGATGCTGTGGCCATGCCTTTCAAATCCAAAGCCAATCAACACTGTCACTCCTTTCAGCTTTTAATTATTCTTTTGTCTTCAGAGCTTTATGGAAATGATGCTGAATATGGTTTAAACACACAGCTCTAAACATAACTTGGTACCCCAAGAAATCATTGTTCCCATCAGTCTTGGGTTTCCTCTGAAAACTCCACCAACTGCCATAAAACTAGATTCACTGCTGTGGCCTTCGTTACCCAAAATAAAATATTGACAGATATTTTCCCTTAAGGCAAAATCAGGCCTTATGTATTTTGGCAATGCTTTTAAGCTACTTATTTTCATAGAAATGTGGTGAAAATAAAGCTTGATATACAGATGAATTCACAAAACACATTAAAGTTGCTTCCTTTAAAGAAGATGGGGAGAACATTGTCCCTCATGTACCTGGAAGGGGTAGACAACTTCCTCTGCATTGCAAGGTTGCATTAGCAATTAGCAATTGCTGCATTAGCATACAGCTAACTCAACTCAACTGCTATCCTGCTCTGAAGAGCCCTGATGACTACTAGAGTACCCCCCCCCAATTCTACTTAAGAAAAATCTTATAGCAATTTTTAGATACCAAAATCTCTTATTGTCCTTCTTGACAGAAGCGTGAAAGTTTCCATACAACTTTACCAGGTTTATTTAAATGTCTTTGAAAAGCAGCAAGAGATTTTTAAAAATACACTCTGCATACTGAATTTCTATTAGCAAAGGAACCAGTTTTGTAACAGAATCTGTGAATTGATTGAGCGTGCAGAGGCGTGCATGCCAGGGCCTGTGCTGAAGCTTGTGCACAAAACCAGCACTGCCTCACAAGAACCTGCAACACGGCTTAAAGATGGACAACATCTAATTTAGAGCATGGTTTTATTCCCAGCATTTAAGGCAAGAGGCACAGCCATCCGAACATGTCATGTCCAGTGCCATTAACCCGAAACACCACTAATGAGAAATTCTCAAGGCATGTTTTACAATACACTGAGAAACAAATGAGCCGAAAAAGCTTCAATACTATAAACTCCTTAGTGTAAAAATGCGTTTCACTGCAAGTTTTCTTTTGGGAAGTGAGGGGAAGGCAAGCTTCCATTGGACTGAGAACAAGATGAGCATGGAGGATGGGTGGAATTCCTACACTTTAAATAGACCTCTTCCCTTACAGCCTTCCCATTGTGAACTGCCTGTTGCTTGTTACAGGGATAAGCTAGCCCACTGAAGTTACGTACTGCCTCACCTCTACCCAGTCAGAGGCTGCAACACTGAAGTAAGAGTGCCGTTGATCAGTTTCAGCATATGAAGTGAAAGACATCAAGAGATGTAGCTGATCTTGTCTTTAAAACCGTATTTTATCCTCTCACCTAGAAAGCTTCCTGCATGTTTAATATCATGTTCATGAAAGATCACTGTTCCAGCGTTTGAACAAGGATTCTACTTGTTCTGTGTGTGTGCACTTGAGAGACTCTGGATTTTTGTCAAAGTCACAGCAAAACACCAAAAATCCATTTTCATAGTGAGTTTTTAAATAAAAAGTGTCAGAACGATGTACTGAAAGGAAGGGCCAGAGTTACTGTGCAGTTCAGGGGTCTGACTGATAAAAACCTGTCTGGGAAGAGACACTTGACACTACACTGTGATGGAATGAATATACGATCCCTCAGTGTCACCAGGTACTGAAACGCATGTACAAATTTCAAACACAGAAATCCACGCGATTCAAAGTGGCTTCAGATGCGCAAGGAGCAGGTACGAGCACAAAGCTGGCACTTTTAACTTGGTATTGCTCTCTGAGCCACACTAACCCAGTCCTGTGTGCTCTCCTGGGCTGCTTTCACCGCCTACGAGAGCAGTGCGAGGGACTGAGGCATCCTCTGTGCATGTATCTGTGCCTACATCCTCTGCCGGTGTTCCCACCGCACTGAGCTGGAGGGCTGTTGGGTGTTTCACGGGGGTTCCCCACAGCACAGCTGTCACCGGCTGTGTCACGGGCACACCGTGTCTTTTCCTCCTGAGGGCACCGGGCCAGACACGGAGCGCGGACAAAGCCCGGTCCCGGCCCGGTTCAACCCCGCCATGTGCCGCCCGGGGCCGCCGTTACCCTTGCTGAGGAGGCCGTCCCCATCCGAGTCGATCTTCTTCACAATGGCCCTCAGCCGCCGCTGCTGCTCTTCCGGGCTGAGCCGCGCGTACTCGTCCGCCTCGTCCTGCGGCAGAGGAACCGCGCGTCACCGCGGGCCCTGCCCGCCCCAAGGCCCGCCCCAAGGCCTCCTGCGCCCGCTCCCGCCGCCCGCCCGCCCTCCCGCGGGCCGGGCCCCCACCTGTCCGCCGAGCAGCGCCTCCCGGTCGTAGTCGGCGCGGTGCTGTTCGTGCGCCGCGGCCAGGGCCGGAGCCAGGCCCAGCGCCAGCACCAGCACCACCGGCCGCAGCCGCATCTCGCTCGCCGAGCAGGGGACCCGCGGCGAGGGGCGGGGAGAGGGGCCGCGGAGGGCGGGCCCCGGGTGCCGCCTGAGCGACACGGAGCGGGAACGTGCCGCTCGGTGAGGAGCGGGGGGTCGTGCGCCCCTCGGTCCCAGCCTGGCGTGCTCTGTACCTCAGCGGGAGGTACCAGCCCCTGCCGGCGCGTACGGATCACTTCCCTGCTTCAGGGCCTCCGTGCAGCCTGGCAGCCCCGAGTGACTGTCACCAGGACTTCAGGCAAGCACCGAGGAACCCGGCACGAGGGAGGATGCGCAGGAACGAGCGGTGTAAAAGCTTTATGCCGAAAAGGAACACACGTTTCTCTTGCTTGTGGCCCCAACTCGCAAATACCGCTTACAAGGGAGAGCTGAAGGGAAGCACTGCTTTGTGAGAGGGTGGATCAATGCAAACGTTCGTAAGTGTTCAGCGCACATAACAGAGAAGAAAGCAGTAAAACAAATTCAGCCTCATTGACCACACAGACAAACTAAAGATACATCAAGTAAATGAGCAGGGGCCTCCCCAGGAGCTGTCATGTGAAACTGGGATTGCTCTGATCCTGAGCCCAACAAGGTCAAATTAATCAACCCTGTGTGATTAACTGAGATTTATGTGAGACTGCTGCTAGATTTGTTATTTCTCTGTCCAATATTCGTGTATTGCTGGAACTCCCCTTTCAAATAGCAAGAAGGGAGATTACCCCACCTGCATTTCCAGAAACACAATTGTTGCCAGGTTTAAGCAGAGCCCTCAGTTAATGGAGGTTGTCTGCTAGGCTGTCCTGTCTCTTCCTTGGCGATAGCGATGTTCTGCTCCCCAGTTAACCTCAAATTCTATTAACTGTGAAGAGTTACGAATGTTCGTTTTGAGGATCTGAGAGTAAAATATTGCCATAAATCAGTAAATGTGTTATTGCAATTTCCTGCCCTAATAAGAAATGGCTTTCTATTAAAAATCTAATACTGAAGTCTAATATTTTTTATTGGTTTAAATGTCAAATTTCCTATCAGTATGTATATAAATCACACGCACAAAATGTGAATAAGATCATACTAGTTGAGCATGTTTAGACAAAGCAATTCTATAAGCACTCAAAACAGAAGTAAGATTTGACTCGTTTCTGAAGTAGTGCTGAAGATGCTTTGTCTTCTTTACTAATGCATTACCAACACCCCAAAAGCCCCCTTTCCTGCACACCTCAAGGGTTGACAAGTGTATTAGATTATACATTTCAGTGCCTAAACAACTGTAATAGCCTCCAAATGACAGATTCAATGTAGATGTGCAAAGAGCAATTTTATTAACAATATGTTCATATGCCAAGATGACTGAAGAGAGAAGGAAGAGGAAATACAAACAACTGGGACAATAAATCCAGCAAAACCAAAAGGTCATTGTATCCTGCATATAAGGAAAAAAATCAGAAGCTTGGCAAAAGGGAAAGCATAGGAAATCATCTTCTTCTCTTGGTGGTAAGCCTGTGTCCAAATACAATCTAGACACTTCCCAGCACACAATGCGTCAGTCAGATAGTAAACTTTAAGATCATTTTGGTATGGGTGCAGGAAAAAAAAACAATAAACCAAAGGCTCTCATGTCTGTTCTGTATTTTTAACCGAGTGCACAGCAAATGCATCGCTATTGTAACTTGTGAGAGTATGAGTGAAGCTATTTTTAAATCAGAATATGAGTCATACTATATACTATATATACTATATACTTCTTTATGTGCTGAACTTTCTGACTTCACGAAACATCCCCCCTTCCCTCACCAAAAGGATGACATTTTTGTATGACAAATCGCATACAGCCTTGCAGACATCTCGTTGGAGCTGTTCTTTCAGTTGACTCACAAAGGAGTCAATGTTAGAAGGTCATGCTCAAAACAACTTCTTCTCCATGAGGCCTGCAAATGTAAATCTGTTCCTGGGAAACTGTGAACATGAGAGCAGTTGTCCAGCAGCACAAACAGCAGTTCCTTAACAGTTATTTCTAGGAAGGGAAGTTGTCTGTCTGGTCTTTACTATAACTTTTTGACATTTCTACATGTTAGCTGCCTGCCTTGGATAACCCTTTATTTACTTTAATGCACGTCATTTATACACTTGAAGAATAAATGGATTTACAGTAGTTTTACTTAGATAGGCTTCCATTTTGATACATTCTCCTCAGTTTGCTGTTATCACATGTAACCATTTTAAGCTGCTACATTAACAGTTACGTGCATCTAAGACCTAGATGCAAAGATTATCCTTTCTTCTTCTGTTCTAGACATGGTTGGATTTTGGAATGTGGATTTAAGTAAGGGAAAAACTTGAAATCGGATTCAAATACCTCTGTTAACTTCAAAGTGGCAGTCATTTCATTTGGTAGTAACAAGATACAGCTTTCTGGGTCTTCTAATGAAGTGCTTCGTAACACCTTGCACAAAGTATCCTGAGGTGTTTTAGACTCTGCAGACATTACAGACCTGTTTTTCTACTTCTTTGCCCTTAGTGCAGTTATTAGCATCTGAGGAAATAGGTTATAAAGTGACACTTCTCTGATGTGGTATCTGATGAGGCATTGAAGCGGAACAGCAGGATTTGATGCACGGCCCAGGCCCACAGTGCTGGGCTCAGCCGCACACCAAGGAGGGGGTTATGGAAACTCGGACAACTGCCCCATCAACAGTGAGCAAGTGACAGTGCAAGGGGGTTGGATGGGACCTCCAGGGGCCACCTGGCTCTGCTCTGCTCTGCACCACAGCCGAGTCCATGCCGTGCCTGGAGACTTCAGCTGAAGCATGTACCGGAGCTCAAGCCATCTATTTCAATCTTTTAGTGTTTAGAGATGGCAATCTAAATTGTCCCGCTTACAGTTCAGGCCTCCTTACTTCCTATCATTCCTGTCACACTGAGGGAAATGGATTATTCTCTTGCTCCTCACAGCCCCACTTATCACTCTTACCGCATCCCCTTTTTGTTTTCTTTGGCTAGATAGGTTCAACTTGCCCAGTATTTCCTCACAAATCATGTTTTCCAGGCCTCCAGTCCCATGGTAAGGGCTGTCCTCTCCACGTGAGACCCATCCTTCCCCAAGGCCATTGCCCAAGCTGGATGCAATGCCAGTGTTAAGTGTTTTGCTATTGCCTGCGCAGACACCCAGTGTGTTGTACACAGTAATTTCCTTGCTCGCACACAGCCCATGCTCCTTCCACCTTTTCCCCATCTCCCCGCTGATGGGTAAGGGGCTGGACGCCAAGGTGCCGACCGCCAGCCCGGGCGGCCCGAGCTGACGGGGCAGCCCCAAGCCCGCAGCACGGCCCGGACACCCACAGACACCTCCGGTACCGGCTCCGGGCCCGCTCCTGCCCCTCACGGCGGGCGGGCACGGTGCTGGCGATGCGCTACCGGGCGCGGGCGGCGCATGCGCGGCTGGCGGGGCCGGGCAGCGGAGCGCGGGGGGGGTTAGGAGCGCGGCGGCGGGCGGGCGCTGGCGGCGGGATGCGATGACATCACCGCGGCGGGACGCGCGCGGGCGGGACGGTGCGGCGCGGCGGAGAGCGTGAGTGGCCGCTCCGCGAGGCCCGGCGCGGGGGAGGGGCAGGGCGGTGCGGGCGCGGCGGCGGGGCAAGATGGCGGCGGGCCAGCCCTCCCCCCTCCTCCGCCCTGAGGAGAGCCCGAGGGGGGGTGCGGGCCCTCGGCCTGCCCTGCTCCGCTGCGGCAGAGAGCGGGGCTGGCGGGTGCGGGTTAGGCCTTGCCGCGTGGGGGGGGCTTGGCCGGCGCCTCAGCCTCACTGCGAAGGGGGCCGGTCCCGCCCCGGTAAGTGTGCTCCTGTCAGTGCTGCACGGCCCGCCGTCTGTGAGGAAACTCGGAGCCGAGCGGTGTGAGGGAGGGTCCGCGCCTTGTACACCTTGTTGTTACGTGGGGGCCCCTCCAGGAATGTGCCGTGGAAGCTGTGTGTGTGGAAGGGAGAGCAGGCATGCCGAGAAAGCCCCCGTAAACTTAAACCCGCCAGGAGGTGTAAAACAATTTGCATTCGGGAAGCTGCTAATCGCGTTCCTGTCTTGAACCTGCGGTCCTGCTTTCCTTGTCGGATTGGAAATCATGGTTAGAAGAGTTGACAGGACAGGAGGTGTTGCAGCACACCCAGGGGCTGCCTTCTCTACATGTTCTAAATGCAAATTTCTATTTCTGAATTACTGCCGAATCCACTGCAGTGCCGGGCAAATGCTTGGACCCTCAGGTGTTTTCCCTCAAATTAGTAGGGAAATACTTGGGTCCTCACATTTTTTCCCTCATATTAGAGAAATCCTTGGGCCCTCAGACTTTTTCCCTCAGATTCTTCGGGAGATACTTGAGCTCTCAGGGTTTTCCTCAAATAAGTATGTCGATTTGATGAGCTTTTATTGCACCTTGATTATAACCATGTCAATGCAGTGAGCAAAAGCAGTTTTCTAAGATACCTCAGTGTTCAAAAGCTCCTCAGGCCAGGCCTGTGCTGATGTCTGAAGCAATGCTCAAATACAGCCTTTGTTTTCAAGCAGGTGCAGAATGTTGAAGTTTTCGCAAGGTCAGTTGGTTGTCTTAAGGCACAGAAGCAAGCGCAAACCTTAATGACTGCCTGTCTGTTAACTGTGTAGGTTTTGGCTAGTTACTTTTGGAAAAATCAGCAAGGTATGAGGAGTTAAAGGTGTAATATGAGAACAAGTGAACAGCCCACTTAAAGCGGTGTCGTTAATGATAAAGACCCACAAAATAGTGTTTTGGGTCTGGTTAATCTTGTTCAGTTACTTGATTTCTGATAACTTAGAAGTGTCTAATTTCTGATTAGTGTCCAGTTCTTCAGAAGGATAAGAACTGTTACAGGGGAGTGTTTGCACTCTAACCAGTAGTTGCCTGTAATTTATTTCAACCTCATAGCCAAGGGTTTAGTTTTCTGTCAGAATTGTTATCCCTTTTCTGGGTATTCTTGATAACCCTATAAATATTTAGTCCCATGCACTTCTGCATTTGTGGCAGTGGTTCTCTGGTTCCGAACTGGATAAAACTACTCACTTTCTCAGAGCTGACTTCTACAGGAACCCTCATATCTTTTTTAATTGACAACA